AAGTATATAATGTTATTAGCAATAACACAACTTCCTGAATATTCACATAGAGTACTTATAAAATTATCTTGCTTGGACATACATTTTTGTAATAAACTCAGTTTGACCTTTCATATTGCTTTCTTTATAGAAAAAACGAGTTCATGATTGCATTCCTCTCTTTGTATTATAAACCGTAACTTAGAGTTATGGAAAGAAATAAAAACATTGTGATATATGCGTAATGGTATTTTCCACGTATGTCAGAACAAAAAATAAGGGCCATTAAAAAGCTTCCCAGCAATGTTTCTTTTACCGTTATAGAACACAATGGAAGTAAAAATTAAAATAGAATATTATGTATTATTATTATGTCTGAATACAGACGCAAAATGTTTGAGTCCTTGGTTTATTTGATACATTAAAGCACTGGTGTCCTGCATTTCTGATTTTTGGAAATCATTTGTGAGAAGTAAAACATATGTTGAATAAATAAAAACAGTAGATAACAACTATAATTTCGATAGAAAACATAAAAGTTTAGGTTAACGCTCTCCCAAATAACAAATTCCTCTGTTTAATTACTATATAACAATACTCCATTTCTATCGCAGGGATATTCAAGAATTTCAAAATCGAATTTATCTAGTTAAGAAAAACCAGGCATACAAAATTAAAAATTTCAAAAATAGAATCGATTCCACTTTGCGGCGAAAGGGATAAATATTATTCCGCCTATGTTTTTACAAAACGAAAATTCATATATGCTAATCATTTTTATTATTTTTAATGAAAATTTCAAAATGTATGCAATTTTAAATTAAAAATCCTCATATAGGATTATCATTTTTACGACCCCCTCAATAATAGTATAACCTGATTTTCGACAACAGTTTGTTAGAAACAGTGGCATTTCCTTAGGGTAATCAGATTGAAATTGTATTTATACATTATATTTATCTTATTGGATTCTAAGAAAATCATGATAAATTTCAAAAAATCTAGAAGAAGGGAAATTCTAAAGAAAACAGATCTAATGAAAGATCTTAATAGTTAGATCAAAAAAAGTCAACTGATCGAAGTCCATCTAAAAATAAAGAAAAATGTCTCTTTTTTCTTGATATACTCTGAGACGCCAAATTATTAGGACCACCTGACAGTTTTGTGCAAAATGAGCTATTGCATCACAGTGTTCCCGTTAGGGGACGCAGTAGAGCGGTAGATAGACTTTCGTAGAGAGTCTAGCTACAAAAAGGGAATGCAAGGCAAGTGAACCATAAATTGCTCTGTGTCACGTGGGGAGTAAAAGCAAAAAACTTGACTTAACTGAGTTTGAACGCGGGATGATTGTTGGCCCTCGAAGCATCTGAACAATATCAGCCAAACGGCTGATCTTGCGAATTGTTCGAGAGCAGCAGTTATTAATGTGCACAAAGAGTGAACTATCATTCAGAAACCCGGATCTCAATGTTATGTTTGATGTCGTCAAATGATACTGAATCCTCGAGCTGAAAGTCGACTTGCCAGAGTTGTCCAGTCAATCCAACAGAAGAGTAACAGTACGTCAAATGACAAGGAATCTTAATGAAGGTGCAACTGCAAGCGTCTCTGAGCGAACTGTGTGCTGCACATTACATCGTATAAGCTGTGGGAGCCGACAACCTGCTCGAAAGTCACTGTTGTCAGCCTAAAACAAGAGCAGACCAGTTTGCAAAGAAGCATAAGGATTGAACAGTAGATGACATGAAAAAGGTCATGTGGTCTGATGAATCATGTATTTAATTGCACCCTGCATGAACCTCAACTGCATTGCCACAACACTTCAAGCTGGTGGAGGCAGTGTTAGGGTTAGGGGGATGTTTTCTTGGCATTGCACGATGTCTCTGATTCATGAGGAACAACGTCTGAATGCATAGGGGAACTTAAGTGCAATCGCAGATCCAGTACATCCTGTTGCGTAAATGGTGTATCCTGCCGGGGATGAATAATTTCAACAAGGCAATGCTCCTTATCACACAGCTCGTGTTGTCGTCAGATGGTTCGAGGAGCATGACGGTGAATTTACTTTGCTTTGTTGGCCCGCACAATCACCAGATCTCAATCTAATTGAGAATTTGTTGGATAAGATCGAACAGGGCATCAGACAGCTGGATCCAATGCCATCCGATCTGATCGAACTGAAAAGTGCAGTTCATCGGATATGAGGTCAAATTCCTCCTACCTTCGACCAACATCTCATATAATTTATGCCAAGAAGAATTCGAGCAATATTACGGGTCATAATAATTTGGACACTCAGTGTATAAGCACGATTATATTGTATAGGTGGCAAAAAGTGGGTATTTTTAAACTTTATATGTCCCGAAAGAGTGATTTTTTTATCGTTACATCAGGAAGTTTGGTAAATTTACCGAAAATTATGATTTTCATTTGGTGCGGATACGTAAAATGACAAGATTTTTTCTTTCTTTTTTTCTTCAAATTTAAATTTATCAATGAACATGTAAAGCAGGATAAAATATTTTGTACAAAAAAAAAATCTATTATTTTCATTTTCATTACTCGTTCTCTATACTTCCCACCAAAGCTGCCATATTGGGACACAAAAGCATAAATGTCATTGGCAACTACTTGTAATAATTTTTTTAATAAGCATTTGACAGCTATTGCAAACGATATTCTTTGAAAGTTGTTTTGCCATTTCAAGGAAAATTATTTTTAAGGATTGTGTTCAAAATAGTGATTGGAAAAAACGTTTAAATTTTCTCATTCAACCTATGTTCCTTATAAAATTTGAATGCTTAATAAATATTTTTCAATCTCATAAAAATTAATACAAAATAAGCATAGTTTATACTCAGTGATACATTAATAGAATTTAAGCTAATAAATGAAGGGGGTGCAGGAAAAAATAAAGAGTAGTTGTTCGCATAATAGAAGAACGGGGGGAGGGGTACCCATAACGGGAGATTCCCATAATAGATATAATTCACTGTGCTGATTGGTTGGAAAAAAAATAAAATTGTAACGGAGGAATTTTGTATATTTTCATCAAGTTGAAAACATGACATTTGATTTTTTTTTTCTTTGCTTTTTTTGACAAACTGGCTTTTGGTTAATGCATTCGGAAAAAAATATTTTCTTTATTTCATAAAACAGTCAAAGCATCATTGTATCCATTTTGTCTTTATACAGGAATATCTGAATTCCCTCTCTTACTTTGAGATTAAAAAAGGAAAGAACCGATTGTTTAGTACTAAACAACACAGCGAAATCGTGCGCAAAACTGATAAAAAAATATTTCAAAACAATTTATAAAGCTAAAACAAACCCATTTTTTTTATTCATTATTATTTTTTGCTCTGCCCGTGACCTTACGCTATTTTATTCCTATTGGTGACCTGTAAATATTCTCTTTCACAACGTCTATAATAAAACTCCTCAGTAATGCCGCAGTTTTAATTTGTACCAAATATCTCATTGTGCATATTGTATACTTACTGTAGTAAATTTAATACTTATTAAAACAGCACCAATGACCATAATGCCAGGAGTGCATGTTATTGAAATTAGTTATCACTGTCATCAATAATTGTATAGTGTATTTTTTTACTTTTCTCCTAAATGAATTAGTATTATTTTTCCATTATTTTCCTTTTTACTACATAACTTATTATTTTTTATATCAATTATTGCTTATTTCCNTGAAAGATTCTGAATGAATTGATTCCTTAATCTTAGATTTTCATCACGTAGTTAAAAAGTTTTTCAGGGGACAAAATTAACTGCAAAAACTTTTTTTAGAATAGAGAGATTATTGCTTATTTCCACGCTAAATCAAGAATCTTTGGCGTCAATGGTTAACATTGACATGATGTTTTTTTTTACATTTTTCTTAATCAAATTAATATTATCTCTCTCTTAATTTTGCTTATCAGTACGTAATTTATTTTTCATTTCAATTACAATTGATTTTAAATTATTTAGTTTCGTAGAAACTCATTTCAATAGAATAACTCTAAGTCAAATAAAAACGCGGTTTTAAATAATTTTAGAGTTTCTAATTTCGTTAACGTAGTCCATCAATGGTACCACATTCACCTTGATCATTGAGTTTATCTGACGTAATGAATAAAAATTAATTAAATGATAAAGAATCTGCAATAATTTACTTCTTTGATTAATCAGAGTTTGAAAATGAGCAAACAGTGCTGATGTTGTTATAATATCTTTTAAGAACCAATTGGAAATATCTAAGCTGGCGTCATTCACTATCCTGTTCACTGGAAATCCATCAATGATAAATCATGTACAAATAGTAACCAATAGGAATACGTTTCTATTAAGATGGGAAAATGAATCATCCAATAGAAAAGATGCAAACGACAATTGTTTGATTTATTCTACTCAGTGATATAGATCAATCTTTAGTTGGGGCATCTTTATTGCATTCAATTTAATTTATATCAATGACTGAAAGTGCGCTTTTTCCCTCTTTCCAAATTTTAGGAGACTAGCATAAATTGTTCTGAAGTTATAAGGATAGACTGTCAGATAAACTCTTCGCTTCCTTATTATAGATTAAATTCGTCATTTATGAAAAATAAATTGTGAAAAACATACATCTATGTTTAAAATAATAATTGCACATTCAGTTTCTATTTTTATAAGTATAATGTAAAAAAAGAGGAGTGCTTACGCATCTCTATTTATTTAACACTCTTTTAAGTCAAATACAAATTAGTTTTACAAAGCGAAATAAAGCTCAGTAATTATGATTAATTCAGGAGAATGTTTTTGAGTATTATCATAAAACAAAATTCGTTGCTTAATTCAACTTTTACGTGCTTATTTTTAAGTTTTTTTTACATCTAATTTGAATTTGCCTTTTCAGTGTTTTAAAATTACATCTTTTATAGATGGAATAAAAAGAAATCTACCTTCTTTTTATTCCTTTATCATATGAATACATATATGCATACCACGTTATCTAAAAAATATATCTTAAGTATTGTACTCACCACCATCAACTTCGCATGCTAAGGTCAAGAAAGCTCCTTCATCATAAGGTCCGATGATATCTCTCAATCGCTGCCCATGTTCATCCATTATATATGGATCACCTGGGGGAACTGACAAAAAATTGTCTATAAATATCTTAATGATTAGATATACGGTTTTATGTGACACTTTTTCATCTGCATGGCACTCTCTTTTATTATCTAAACTTTCATATTTATTAATGATGCTTTTTCTATAAAAAGATATAGGTCAATGCCACCATTACGTATTTGGCCTTCGTCGATATCTTGTTTTGTCTGATAGGGTGAAGTTATTCTTCAAAAATGATAAGGAACTTGACTTTTTTTGCTAAACAACATTATAGATCAAATTGCTTTAATTTTTTTTATTTGAAATAATGAATTATCTCTTTAGGTCTAAGAAAATATACTTAGGGAAGTAAATAGATTATTTTTTGGAAGTACGCTTTTACCCGAACTTAAGCAACCTGACCGTATTACTTCACCGGGTATATATAGAAATATTAATAATGATAATTATAAAAATACTTTTTTTCCAACAGAAGAGTCGAATTATTCATAGCACGTCCTACACTGAGAAACTTCTCAGGAGTTTGAAAAACAAATAATGTAAAGAATATGTTTCAAATTCATTAATAAATTAAAATATTTAACTTCATTTAGGTACAGAAATTTTAAAAAAAAACTGTGATAATGATTCTTTCATTTCAAGTTCAAGGGATTCTGACTTGGTTTATTGTGGAACTGATTATATCTATGGATTGTGTTCCTGTTTAGTTTAAGAGCACCAGTTAACAAAAAAAGAATCATTATCATTTTAAAATAATACAGAGATTGTCTCAACTAGTTTCATATGATTTCTGATAAAAGGCAGTTGATGTTCAAAAGGCTACACTGGTGTTCAAAATTAGGAGAAATTTTGGTCGATTATCTCCAGAACAACTGGCTAGATTTTAATAAAATTTGGTTGATAATACAACAATTTGGTTTGGTTCATTATACAAAAATTATAACTAATAAACAATTATTGTACGCACGTAAGATCGTGCGTTGTACTTATCAGAGTAGGATGGTATCAAAGAGTAGTTGCAGAATTAAATTTTTAAAAAATGTTTTGATAGGAAATATGCCTCCTTCATACAGATATGCTGTCCTCATGCCATGATTTCATACTGAAAATAAAGAATATTATGAGTTCCTGTCACTGTTTGCCACACTCATTCCGCAATGCTGTTTTGAGACATATGCGGTTCTCGAACTAATTGTAATTCTCCTCCCCAAAGCGCCACATTCCTTATCGGGTTAAAGTCTGCAGATCTGGCCAATCCATCCTGCAAATATCTTCATTTTCCAGAGAATGGTAGACTAGAAATGCAAGGGATGGTGTTGCATTGCACTCAGTACCCATTGCACCCCTGAAAAGGCGAACATGGGGCTACAAGACCTCATCCCTATGCATCACACCATTCATAGTTTCAAAGACATGGATGGGAAGGTGGATAAAAAAGCATTAGGCCAGCCCCGAGCAGCAAACATCTGCCACCTGAATGTTTGATTTCTCTGACATTAGATGGCATGTATCGAATCCCTGGTTCTCTTTCTAAGAAATTACGGCGAAGCTGAAGCGAGGCCCATCAGTGGCGAGAGCATTTGACTATTAATTGACTTCTGTACCATTCAAAACAGACTATTTTGCTTTCGGAAGTCAGTGAGACGCAAACAGCAGGTTTTAATGTAGATAATTTTCTCTCATGAAGCCTTCTGAAAGCAGTAACTCTTGAAACTCGGCTTTCAGTAACCCCATAGAGGCCACAAGACAGCAGAGAAGCTGCAGCCTCCTTGTTGCGCCTCGCTGTAGTCGACAAATAACGGTCTTCATTCACCGTTGTGGCTCTTGATCGACCTTGGTCAGGCTTTTTCTCGATGAAACTATTTCCATAAGTAGTACATGTCGTAGGAAGCTAAATTAAATTCTCTTCAAATTTGGATATGAAACAGGTTTGCTTCAAGTCCTGAGCAATTCTCCCCTCGTTCCATCACCTAAAGATTAGTAATTAATACTTTTTGTTGCTTGAAATTGAAAGAATTGATTTAGATTGCTGCATAAAAAGAAAGAAATTTGATAAGATGGTAGAGCAAAAGAAATGCAGTTTTTGCCATGAGCACTAATGAAGTATATTCCTCTACTAGCTCCATCTGCGCACGTATATATGTTTACGTATTTGACACACTATATTTTGATTTTTGTTTAAAAGCTGTAGTTATACATTTCGCTCTGTTGTTTTTGAGAAATTAAAGGAGATCTGCAAATTTTTTTAAGTATGAACACAAGTATAGTCTAAAATTCGATTCCAGTGTTATCCATTTGCCTGTTTTTTTTTTACAACTCTATCCTACTATTTGTGATTTTATCATTGCTTTTACTTAGTTATATATTTTGATATTTGTTTAGCATTGTGCAAAATTAAAATATAAATTTTTTATCCAAGAAAAACTTGTACAAAATTACAGCTAAAAGCATTATTGCTTACACAAATTCCCATATAAGTTTGAATATCGACCATATTTCTTACTCATAAACATATCGAAATAGTTAATTCACAGCAAATCATTATAGATTAAAACAAGCTTCTAATTTGTTACATTTAAATCATATGCAAGACTTACCAATTATGTTAAGCCTCGTGTGCAGTATCAAAGTTCTAGACCTACGAAGATCCACTCTGCATTTGTAGTCTGCTTCGTCTTCTACTCTGGCTGGTTCAAGATAAAGTGTTGGGGGATGTATATTCATATTAAAATAAGAACGATCCTTAATTTCAGGACTTGGAAAATGTTTGGCCTCTTTTATAGTCCTTTTACGGATATCTAATGTATAAATAGGATTTGGCATATCAACACGGTACCATAAAATTAAAGATACTTGATCATCTGATAAGGGAGTGGATATATTGCAGGGAATGGCGGCTTTTTCTCCAGCAACAGCGAAATGAATGGGGACACCTGCAGAGAAAAAAGAAATCATGTTAAACATTTCTTTTAAGAATTGTAATTTTTATCATATATTATTTGATAATTTCTAAAAAAGGTGTTAAAAAGTGTAATGAATAGAAAAAATAAAGTGGTGATGTGCAACACCTAGCTGGATATCAGTACGCCAGTCCAGCAGTGTTAAATAATGTGCGATCTGTTGAATTGTTCTTGTACTTAACTACTGTTTTGTTTATGATTTTATGAATTTTTCAATTATTCATTTTTAACTGAATATCAAGTAGCAAAAGAAAAAAATTTTCAAGATCGAGAGTGTCAGTGAGTAGAGGGCAAAGTTCACTAACATACATTAATTTAAAGAGATCTTTTCTTCAAATATTTATTAGAAAAAAATTGAACAGTAAAAAGAATGATACTTATAGGACTTCAAATTCGGGATTGCTACCTAACAAACTTAGTTTTTTCTTTATAATACTCTAGTCAAACATTGCAAAAATATCTCTGCTTAAATTAATGAAAAGTTCGTACTAATTTCTGAAAGAATATTTAAGTTTGAGTCTATCACCGAATCTTAGTAAATGGTTCTTAAAAATGATATTTTTTTAAAACATTTATGGCATTCTGCTGTTTGAAGTTACAGTCATAAAATTGAAAGACTGTTAAAATTTCTTTTGTTGTTCTCTCTTGTGGTGTTTTTATAGTATGCTGTTCAAGGTTTGAAATAAGAGAGAAATAATTTGTAAAAACATAAACGTGAAGTTAACTGCGCTTTTAAACAATTGGAGTATTCTTGTCATTCAAACAAAATCTGTATCTATTGTATTTACTTTACAGACCTCAACACGCAAAATATAATAATTATAAATATAAGGGATTGTTTCAGTTCTAAAAATAGCTTTATCATCAGAGTCTAAGCACATAACTCAAAACATACTTCATTCATTAATGTCGAGGTGCGAAATTCCAGATATATAACGTTCACCATGAGTGTCTAGGGGCGCTTTATCCTACTTTCGGGCACTGATGGTGCTTCTCAAATCACCAAATTGACTATCTTTCATTTTTGCCAATATAAAAACAATATTTTGCCATTTTGCCAATATAAAAACAGTACAAGCCCTATGAATTATAGATATCATGTTTCTCAAAAAGTATAGTGAATTTACTATAAATTACACTCCTGAGAAAATATTTGTTACATTTATACAAATATTTAATCTTGCCTTATTTGGGTGTCGGGATTTCAAATCTTAAATTAATTTTGCTCCAAAATCTGCAGAATTTGTTTCTAATGAAATTTTCAATGTATTTTTTGTCGACATGTACAAGTTTAAAAGCGGTATATACAGCAGGGGTTCGCGTAAATAATGCGATATACTTTTAGGGGACTAAGGGTTTGTCATCATTATTGAAATATCATAGGAACTCATGCCGGGAAATATCATCGTGCTCAGCTAGGGACACTTGTCTATTATAACCTCTTCAAAAGCTCACGAAAAAACTCTTCACAATAAGGAAGCGTTGCCCCTAATAGTATACAACGACATTTTTGGATAAGGATTCCTGAATAATTTTTATTCTGATGAACGCCCTGATTCCTCTAAAAGTTTGTTGCAGCATTCATGTGACCCACTGTCAAACGTTTTTAAACATGTACATTTCGACAAAAAATAGACTAGAAAAGTAATTCTGAATAAAAAATTCTTGGAGAGAAAAACCGATGGCAGATTTGAAATCAATGATACGAAAGTAATCAGATCTATTAAAGAATTTCCTGCAGCAGATAATGAAAATAAATTTTCTCCATTGTCAATATATTGTTGTCAACATTGTCAATAAAAATATAATCGCACTAAAACATTTATTTTTCAAAAAGCAAGAAATCAATCCTAAGTTTCGTCAATTTACTATACTCTGAGAATCATAATAACTTTCATTCAACTTTTATTCCTGCAATATCTAGAAAATTATTCTGCAAATAAAAAGAAATATAAATAGAGTTGCAGAGAAAGAAATTTCCGTCCATCTTGAATGGGATTGTTACAAGCAATAGAGTGTCTGTGTCATTGTTACATATTTTACGCATTACTCTATACACAAAAGAATTCCTCCAAACATGTCATGCTTCGTTATTTCCCAATTGATTGGTATATCTTGGCGGAAAAAGACAAAAATTATTTTGCTTCTATCTATTTTAGGAGAACAAAAAGAAACAGCTCTGTCAGATAAATGCCGTTGAGGCCACTAACTCTCGCCTGCTTTGGTGTCCCTGTTTCAACTCTTGTCACCAAACTTTACTTTCGCCACCAAACAAATTTACTACCACAACATTTTTGTTGAAATGTTTTGCTCTTTTATTCGATGAGTGTGGTGTGTTTGAAATTTGATAGGATTTTATTCTATTCAAGTCATGAAACAAGCAATGAAGGCAATTTCTTGACTTGCCAGTAATTGGATTGAAGTTGTTTAAAAATGAATGAAATATTTTGATGTCAAAATAAAATCATATCTTTCCGAATGCCCTCAGTTGAAAATATGAAAGGTTTTGAATAATATTAACTCAACGTATTGTGAAGATTACTTTGGATAAAAAAAAAGGAAATTTATTTCTAGCTAGTTTATGGAAGAGAAAATGGTATTGCCAAATAAATCCAATGAAATAAAAAGTTTTTTTGTATGCTCCAAATCTATTGATATCACTTTTTCAACTGGAAAAATTTGATTAAACTAAAATAAATATTCCTTTCATCTCTTATTTAAAATAAAAACAGATTTTTAAGTGTATACATTCGTAGTATATATTATTAAAATATATATTAAAATCATGAAGGAGCCATCTAGACATACGTAGTAAATTTGAAAAATATTTTATTAGGACTCAAATAGGTTTTATGAATGTTGAATAATTTTGTTGTTTACGGAAAATAAGTTTTTTCGGTCTTTATTTTATTTTTCATTTTAAAATTTTTTAACCTCATTCATTAGGACTATAATTTTCAGTTTGGCTTATTATAATCGACATTTGGTTTAAATTTTGCATAAATAAATACTTAAAATATAATTTTAATGAACTTCAAATTTAAATAAAAAATTTTTTTATAGAAATAAATTCCCATATTTTAAAATTTTCATTAAATACTATTTCATATTATATTACTATTCATACATTGTGATTCCTATTCTTCTCATTTGCACACAAATGAAAAGAAATATTATTTTGCTTATATTTATTTAATATTTGTTGAAATCATGGAACTTTTTTTTTACAGAAATTTTTTTCAATTTATGATTTAAGTCAAACTAATGGTAACATAATGAAACACAAAACATTTTTTAAAAATAGATTTTAAAAAAAATCTATCTGCAAACATTTTATGTTATAAAATATGTTGATCAGTAAAACTATTCAAATTTGTTTGAATGCTTGCAGTTTGTTAACAATTTGGAACAATTTGTTCAAAAGATGCAAGGTCTTTCTGATCTGATTCTGATCTTTCTACCTTTGATTGACTTTTCAAATCACTATCGTTCAAGTAAAGGCTATATTTTAGAATGATTTTAAAAGTAACTATAAACAAATCAAAATCCTGAACTGCTATTTTTTTCTTCTATCAAATAATGTGAAATATAAATTTCGTTGAAAACAATGTTTTATTTCCCTGCTAGACATTTCTCAGAAAAAAATGGTTAAATAAAAATGTATTTTTTTGTTATTTTATCATATTACAGCATAACTGTCAAATGATCATAAATAAGATAGTATTTAAACATCTAAACGTAAGAAAAAACGTTTTTTAACTGCTTTCACATAATACGGTTAAATAACTAGAATTTTATCACACCAACTAGGCCCATCTAGTAAAATTACTTAGTTCCATGCAGCTTGGTACATATCATAGCCGACAAGACTAATCTGTCAGTCTCATGGCCAACAGAGCTGGGGATTGAATCTCAACGTTAACATCACAAAGTTTCCTTCATTCCCTTCAACACATGACGAGTTTCCAGTCTGAACTTTTAGAATACATTACCCTCATTCACGTGTTAATGGCAATACCGTAAAGCTGCTCTGCACAAAAAAATCTGGTATTACCCGTCTCTTACGATAGGTGAAACAATCAGGTAAACCAATTAAACCAAATATATTTGGTAAAACAAAACTCAACCATAATGTAACTTCAATACCCATTACCTAAGGAAAAACATAGCTCCTAAGTCCAGTTAATTTTCCTTTTTATGGTTTTCAAACCATGCTAATTGTATATGGTAAAACCGTATAGTTTTGGATACATGTTTTTTTTTCACAGCACGAATTATAAACGGTTTTAAAAACGTAAAGGTAAAAACAAAAATCTTTACCTTGAACTTTATGGTTAATTGGATAGACAGACTGCTGTCTGTTATTTTAACGTTAGTTTTAAAATGGATATTCAAACAGTGTAACACAAATTTTATTCATTTTATTAAAATGTATACGCTTTTCGGTTTTAAATTGGATAACCTTTAAAAGTAAGAAAATGGGAACAGATGATAGAGATGATTTAATTCGTTGGAGCTAACGCCACACTAATGAGTTAAATATACAGTCATACCTATAACACTTAATTGGCAGTTAGTGTAGGGAATTTAAAAAAAAGATAATTATTTTTTCAAATAATTAAAAAATATGGTATGTTAGTTCTATAATTAACAATAAGGTTTTTCTTTTGATGATTTGGAAACTCTTCTTAAAATCCAGGTCAAAGCATGAAATACACATATGAGATGAGAAAGTATCAAACTTATAACTTTCCTTTCAGCTTTGTCTTGCTATAGACGAGGGGCTGAGTTCTTAATTCTTGACGTAGAATTGATGTTCTTTGAGCCGATGTTCGAGCGTCTGATGTACCAGTGATGAAACCCGATGAAGTGCTGATGAGGGCATACTTGAAACGGTAACATGCAAATGTTTTAATCTGAAGGACTTGTGCAAATGGGGCACATAAATATACGAATATATACCAATATGTACG